CCCCCCCCTAAAAACAATTTAAAAAAGAAAAAACAATATATCCTCATGCAAGAACTTTTCTGCTTCCGATTACCCCCATGCTTAAAAGTTGCAAAGGAAACACGGAAGCAGGGAAGCGCCTGCCCAGCTCCGGAGCTCCACACCATTTTTTTTTCAGAGGGGAATCTGACTCGAGTATAAGCCAAGGGGGGTTTTTTCAGCACAAAAAATGGGCTGAAAAACTCGGCTTATACTCGAGTATATACGGTATTTCCGGGATAACCTAAAAGGCTTTGGAACCTTGTTTGTCCTGAAATTGCTTCTCTCTCATTGAGCAAGGCAAGACACGAGTAGTTCCCCTATGCCTGCATCCACTGACATTTGATTATATTGGTAAAACCAATGTTCTAACTTTCAGAAGCAGAATCTGCAAATATATCCTGGAAAGGTTGTTCTTTGGTACCATTTCTCCCTCATCCCAATCCCTTTTCTTCCTCACCAGAGTAGCATTCTTGGCTCCCACGCTGGCTCTCTGCACCAAAAGCTTCTTGTCACCCAACTGCATGCCATTCAACCCCGCGATGGCCTGCGAGGGCAAAACAAAAGTTAATCCAGACACTTCAAAACTTGAGCCTCTGAGGCCACCAACCACACACCCCTCTGCCCCAGGCTCCAAAACATCCACACATTCATACACAAAAAGTAGCTTATTTTATGCCTCCTCCCCACCAGATTCCTACCTGAACTGCACTGCTCTTGGATTTAATACCACATTTAGGTTATTTACCTGCCGGGCCTCAAAATCAGCATGTTTTTAAAAAATAGATCTTGTTGGAAGGGATTAAGATGAGTCAACAAGACTGTCTGCATGAAGGAGAAGAGCAAAGGTGAGATTTCAGCCTCAGCCAAATGTTGCCAACAAAGACAGAAAATTCTAAAAGGATGTAAATGAGACTACATACTTCTCAGAATGAGAATTCCACTGATTTGAGGTTGTCAGGTTTTGGAAGTTTACATCTTACCAGTCCAGCCCCAATAAAGCATTTAGTATCAGGTTTTACATTATTGAGAATTTGTTTTCCACACAGACCAATTTCAGAAGCAAGATTATGAGGCCAAATAATTTCCCAGTTACAATATAGAAACTGAGGTTTATGAAAGAATGCACATTTCACAGTTATCAATTTAAGCAAAAAGCTGGCAAGCAAATTTACTGATCCTTTTCCACACAGAAGAATCCAGTGGACAAAGAGCTGGTTCAGCCAAGGATGGAGCAAAATACATATTAAAGTACAAGTTGGCCAAAATAATTCAAGTTATGATCTAGAACGGGTCGCCAATCTTTTGGACCTCAGGGACCACCAAACTCATAATTTTAGATCCCAGGGACCACTAACTGGTTCTGTGGGTGTGGCTTGGTGGTCATGTGACTGGCTGGGCATGGCTTGTATGTAAATATTATAAATATTTATATAAATATTAATTTTTTTATAAAAAAGAGCAACTTTTACCCAAAATCAGGCAAAGCAGGCAGGCAGATTGAGTTGCTCACGGAATCAGTGTCAGCTTTGAAATTCAGCTGCCACATTTTTTTGTTTAGAGAGTTAGAGGTGTTGAAAAGTTCAAGGTTATTCTGTATGTAGTATTAACAATTTCCAGTTGCAGTTAATTGGTTCTCGTGATTTATGAAGTGTAGAAGTGGGAGGAGAGAAGGGAGGAGAGAAGGTGGATTCTGTGTAACGTGCGAAAAAACTTTCACTTGCGAAATTGCTTTTGACATGCCAGATCTGTTTCTAATAAATCAATTGGAGAGATAATGTCTCGGAGTGATTGATATCATGGATACTTTCTGGATGCCTGACATTTATTTCCCAAGTCTGACTTTTATTTATTGAATGGGCTTGGCTGATGCCCCGGAGTTCTTTTCCCAGAAATGGAGAAAGGTCAGCAATCAGCCGAAGTTGGAGGTGTGCAGGGGGGAGCGTGTGGGGGCCCTCCCTCCGGAGCATTAATTGAACCTGCCAGCCCTTGTTTGGAGGAGATGATGGATGCTTTCATGATGGCAGTAGGAGAAAGAGATTTGGGAGCTATACCAAAGCGTTTCAACTCAAGAAGTTCTTATAACCCAGAGGTAACCCAGCTGTCTGAAGAGAAATCTTTCTCTAGCCCCAGGCATATGGCTATTCTGTCGGATTGGAGGGAAGAGAGACAATTGGGGTCGGAATTCTCTCAAGAAGACAACCCCCAGATTATTCCTGGAAGTCCATCAGGGGCAGATTTACATCAACAGTTCCAGAATTTAAAGGTGACAGGTTTGGTCTCACAGTCTGTTTGGATGGGTGGAAGCTTGAGACCACCCATATTCACTTACCCAAGTATCGTGAGGAATGAGAAGACTATACAGATGCCAGTTGGAGGAAGCCAGAAAGAAGCATCAACTAACAGAGGTATGTTGCAGCCTCAGAGGCAATCCCCTCATTTTCCAAAAGGAATTTTGCCGCCTGCAGAGAGTATCCCTCCAGAGTGGGGATTTTATCCAGGCCACAGGTGGATTCAATGCCAATGGCAGCCAGCATCAACACACCCCTGGTCTGAAGGGGAGTTGCCCAGACAGCAGACAGCAGCCACATCCCCTCCACCCGACCATGGAACCAGGCCACACCGATCTTCCTCCTGGCAACCACAATTGCAGCCCCAACCGGAAGCGAGGCCACAGGGACCCCTATTCCAGAGAGGCACCACCCAGCCAGGATTCAGGGGGCTGACCCAGCCTACGTACGCCACCCGGCGTATTCCTTCCATTCCAGTACAACATGCAGGGGCCTGGCCTGTGCCACCTCCGCAACCATGACCCAGGCCGGACTGAATACCCTTTGAGGCCGTATTTGATGGCCGCCACGAACATTTCAATTACTTCCTCACTTGAATCTGATCCCATATAGAATAATTTGGAGATCAATATGCCACAGAGCGTGATTTGGTTACGGCCACAACAGATGGGATGAATGAAGGGGTTGCTTCAGACTGGGTGGCCCAACTACACCAACGAACAAGCCACCAAATTATATGATGTAAATGGATTTATTCAATTATTAAGACTCAGATTTGAAAATCCAGACAGGGTAGCAGAGAATGAAGAGAAGTTAATGGAAATAAGGCAAGGCAAGCAACCCTTGTTAGAATTCATTTGGGACTTTAGAAGGGTTGCAAGCCACCTCATGGATTGGCCTGAAAGAATGTCTTTACACTATTTTAAAAACGCCATTGAGCCAGAAGAAAGCCTGTGAAATTAGGGGAATCCCAGAGACCTTACAGTCGTGGTATGCCGCCTCCCTAAGCTTAGATCGCAGCATCAACCCACACAGGAAACCCCTTCCGGCAGCCCCGACTAAGAGAATTGTGGCGAGGAGACCGCCGACCGGACAAGCTGAAACTGCTTGTACCTGACCCACCAGGGTGCTGAAATGTTACCGATGTGGCCAAGCCGGTCATAGGGCATCAGACTATCTGGCCCCAGCTCCTGTGCCACAAGCTCCGCAGTCAAAGCCTAATACAGCTGTTAGAGTTCGGAAGAATCAAGAAAGACCTCCGGCCAGGGACGGATTCGCCAAACACAGCTGGGAAAGCCCCCTCTGCACAGATGGGAGCAACGGACCACCGGACCGACACCACGTCCCCAAGAACCCGACCTGCGAAGACAACCCACTCAATTGACAGAATGAAGATGGAATTAGGGCCCCATCGCGAACTCATATGCTTCATAGTGGCCCCCAAGATGTCAGAATCAATCATACTGGGACTTGCTTGGTTAGACAAATGGGCCCAGACGATCAAATGGGAGGATGGATTCAGAAAAATCCTCATTGGACCGGGCCCATTGCCCCCTCTTCCACCCACTACAAAGCCATCAGTCAGCTCTGTTAGGGATAACATTGTTTTACCCTAACTGTTTTGGGTAAAGATAATAAAATGATGAATCATGGTTTGTCAGATAAAGTGTATGTGACTTTAAGCTAAAGGAATGTAATTAAGGGTGCAGCTGTAAAAGTACTATATAAGCAGCAAGGCACTCTCTGGCTCTTACTGGCTGTCTTATTGAAGACTGCATTCTTGCTGGATCGGGGAGGAGAAGAAGTGTTGGATTACTTTGAAGATATTTCTCAACGGAGAGAAGATTAAGTTTTGGACAGATTTATTATATGTGTACTGACACTGGCTATTCGACACGGACTTTGCAAATAGAGTATCCCTGACAAGACTTGACTGATATGATATATGACTACTGGACTGTTTATTATGACTATGCTATAATTCTTAAATGGAATAAATTATATTTTTGATAACACAAGCGTATCTGTATTTTTACTGCGTGTTAACTAGAAAACTTATCTCACACATTTACCTGACTTCCTATCTGACTTCGCTGTACATTCTGTTTAGTTTGTTTTCCTTAACACCCGTTGGGGAATCCAGGCTTAACAAGCTCGAACCCAGAGCCTGAGCCAGCATCCATGGCATCCCACCTTCTCCCAGATAACCCCCAGGTACCCAACCAATACAAAGATTTGGCTAAAGCATTCAGTGAAGAAGAGTGTAATGTTTTACCTCCCCATCGAGCCACTGATTGCGCCATAGAATTAGAGCCCGGGGTGAAATTACCAAAACCAAAGATGTATTCCATGACGCCTGCTGAAATGACCGAATTAAGGAAATACATCAACAGCAATTTGGAACAAGGTTTTATTGAGCCTGCCAAATCAAGATTAGCTGCCCCCCTGTTGTTCAAGGAGAAGATGGCGGGTTGAGTTTGTTTGTTGACTTTAGAGGCGTGAACGCAGTATGCATCAAAAACATGTATCCTCTCCCTCTTATGAAGGACTTATTGAACCACCTGTCGAAGGGCAAAGTATTCACCAAGCTAGATCTCAGGGAAGCTTACTACCGGGTCCGCATCAAAGAGGGAGATGAGTGGAAAACTGCTTTTAACTGCCCTCTGGGTAGCTTCCAATTCAAAGTCATGCCTTTCGGACTTCAGGGGGTTCCTGCAGTGTTTATGCAGCTCATCAATGAGGTGCTACACTCGCACCTTTACTGGGGGGTCCTCGTGTACCTGGTGACATCCTTATCTTCAGTGAAACCATGGAAGAACATGTTCAATTGGTCTGACAGGTTCTAGAAAAACTTCTAGCCGCCAAATTATATGTGAAACTCTCAAAATGCGAATTCCACAAAGAGTCGCTAGACTATTTAGGCTACTGAATATCCAACCTGGGGATTGAAATGGACCCCGGAAAGGAGAAAGCGGTGCTGGACTGGCAACCCCCCAGAACCCAAAAAAAACTTCAAAGTTTCTTGGGGTTTGCCAACTTCTACAGACAATTCATTCCATCCTTTGCTGAAGTTGCCCTCCCGTTGACGGAGCTATTAAAAACGGACCCGTCACCCACTAAACCAAAGCTGAGTCAACCCCTGGCTTGGACTATGGACTGTCAGAAAGCTTTCAAGGCCTTAAAACGCCTGTTCGCAACGGTGCCCATCCTCAAGCACCCAGACGTGACCAAGCCTTTTATTGTCCAAACGGATGCA